GATCAGCAAATTCAAAATCCAGCTTCTGGTCAGCTGGTTTCTGATGCTAAATCCATATTCTAAGTCACTGACCCCAGAAGCATTATTGGAGCAAGCATCTGCAGCTCTACCACTACTGAATGAGAATCTACATTTTAACCTGATGGCAAATTGGGAGACTCCTGCTCTAATTCATGATGTTTCTTCATCACTGGCGTCGTGACTCCAGACAGTGCTTCAATCTCATTTTCCTCCTCAGTAAAATTGGAATAAAACTATTTTAACTTAAAAACTAAGTATGAAAAATATGAGTAAAGGAGATCATGTAAATGAAGGACATTCATAAATTATAATATGTTAAACACATATACTGTATCCAATGACACACTCTCCTTTTGATGTTAAGTGTATTTGTAGGGAGAGAGGCTAATTCTTCCCCTACAGGAAGAGTTGTCTAAAGCTGCAATTCTGTTGATATTATTGTAAGTTTCCCTTAAGTTGCCTCTACCTCATGGAAACCCCATATACAACAGAACATAATGTTGCCTGTTGCCAGGTCTTAGGTCATCCTCACTATCACTGGTATGTTCAAGTCCACTGGTATGTTCAAGTCCATTAAGTATTTTGAGTGCCTTCCCACCTAGTGGATTCATCTTCCAACACTGTTTTGGAAAATGTCATATTGCAATCCAAGGGCTTTCATTGATTGATTTTGGCAATGCATCACAAGGCCTTTGTTCCTAATCTATCTCAGTCTGGAAGCTTCACTGAACCGTGTACACCATGGTGACCCTGCTAATGTTTGAAACAGACTGGCATAGTGTCCAGCGTCCTAGCAGCACACAAATTAATACAGTATGACAAACTGACAGGATGCAATATTGTTGTTGTTAAGTGCTGTTGAGTTGATTCCGACCCATAGCAACCCTGTATAGAGTTTCCGAGGAGCAGTTGGTGAGCTTGAACCACCGATCTTGCAGTTCAAACGGCTTTGCAGTCTGGCGCATTACCCAGAATACCACACCAGGATGCAATATTAAGCAATATTAAAATTGGTTAGAAGTTATTAAGAGAAAAGGACGATGTCTAGAAAAAGGAAGGTTTCCTCATATCCCTAAAATAATACCATACCTAGTTCTAATAATGTTTCCTTGTATAGAGATGTTGTTATTGTTGTTAAGTGCCTTTGAGGTGGTTCTGACCATAGCGACCCTGTAGCGGGTTTTTGATGAGCTGCTGGTGAGTTTGAACTGCTGATCTTCAAACGAACCTTTGGTCCAGTGATTACCCTACAGTAAATTTAGGATAAAACAATAATTTGGTCAGTGTTTAGAACTGGGCGCTCAACATAAAGAATATGTGTTGGGTTAGTAAACAATGTCTGAATATGCCACTGTGTGCTGTCATTTCTGTTCTGCACAAGCTTTCTGAGGTTGTGAATCTTTATGGGACTCACCTTTCTCCAGTGGAGCTCCTGGTGGGTTGAAATTGCTGACCTTTCAGTTAACAGTCTAACGCACAATCCACTATGCTACCAGGGCTTCTGGTTGTGTGCCCTAGAATAGGTGCAGATGCATAGTGACACTTAATAGGATTGATTTGAACTCCCCACTTTGCAGTTACCAATCCAGTGTTTATCATATATTAGGGTTCAGGGCTCCTTAGTGCCTGAATATACGTCTCCTCTATTTGGAATCTGGTGTGACGCTGTGGGCTAATGCAATGGACTGCAAAGTTGGTTTGAACCACAAGGTAGGTGGTTCAAGCTCACAGGCTGCTCCTTTAGAAACCCTACACAGGGTCGCTGAGTCAGAACCAACTCAACCACACTTATCAACAACAATGTTTTTGGGAGTGGTGTCCTGGTGTGGTGCTGTGGGTTAAACACTGGACTGAAAGGTCCGTTTGAACCACAAGGTCAGCAATTCAAATTCACCAGCTGCTGCTCAGAAATCCTATAAAGGATGGCTAGGAGTCAGAACCAACTCAATGGGACTTAGTAAGAACAGCATATACTGGAGTGGAGTCCTGGTGTGACTCTGTAGGTCAAACACTGCACTGCTAACTACAAGGATGGTGGCTCAACCCCACCAAACAACTCCTTGCAAACCCTCTGCAGGATTGCTATTAGAACCAACTGGACAACACTTAACAACAACAGCAATATTTGGGAGTGGAGTCCTGGTGTAGCATTGTTGTTGCTGTTAAGTGCTGTCAATTCAGTTCTGACCCATAGCAATCTTCTGGTTAGCTGTCCAGTTTTATACTACAGTGCCATACCAGGATTCCACAGTAAAATTGGGTGAGGCTAAATTTCTTTTAAATTATTAAGACCAAAAATGACACATCACCTCCTAAAATCCTTTCCCTCCCAGGCTGGGTTATATAACTTGTCTAATATCACACATTAGCATTTGTAGTTTTATTGATGTGTCTATTTCCCAAGTAGCTTTAAGATTTTTGAGGAAGCATTTACAGAACCTAGTGTAATTCTTGGCACTCAATGACTATATTTAGAATAAATAATTCAATATTAACAGTTATCCTAGTATAGGCACTCAGTCGATCATTAACAAAATTCAGGAGAGAGACAAATGACATTTATTTCAATAAAGGTGAATGATGTGATTGCTTTACTTTAGATAGAATACTTTTGTATTGGATTAATAGTGCTTGGTGCCTCTTAAGTATGTAGGTGTAGAAGAGTTAGCAATCAGGATTCCTAGTTGTTTACATCTCTAGACACTTAGGGTGACACTTAAGCAGGACTGCTTAGGGGAATATTTTTTATATCATCATCACAGCTTCAAAAATATTTATGGTGACGACTTTTTTTTCATCATTTTCCAGAATTTCCAAAGTCAGTCAAGGATATCTCTAAATGTATCAAATTTAATTAATTGAACATTATAGATTTTAAAAATATAAATGCTTTTCAAAGCACCTAAAGGAATCAAGTCTTAACTTTGATCTGCAAGGAGGTTGTTCGTTGATATTTTTTCCCCATCCTTTCTCTCTTTTATGGACCAATATTATGTTGCAACATTCCTGGGTTTGAGGAAAATCTGGTTCAGTTTTTATTGATGATATATTGTTGTTGTTATTAAGGGCCGTCGAGTCGATTCCGACCCATAGCAACCCAGTATAGGTTTTCTGAGGAGCAGCTGGTGAGCTTGAACCACCGACCTTGCAGTTCAAACAGCTTTGCATTCTGGCACATTAACCCACAGCCCCACACCAGGACTCCATTCTAACATATATTTATCAAAATAAAGAAGGAAGACACTTTCAGTATCTTTTCTTTATTATCAGTTATCATGAAATGTAATTTGATGACAATCTAATTTAATAATGGCAGATGGTTTTAGCTACTTTTGATTATTATTTCCTTAAGCTATCCATACAGGTTATTCATTGTTTCATTTGGCTGATTCAGGGATCATTCCTACATGATTCTGTGTTTTGATCCATGCTTCTGAGATTTGGTTCTATGGTTCTGAGTAAAATCTACTCCCCCCTGTTGATTTCAATGAAACTCAAGGTTTTTGACCTTGAAAATATGGCTCAAGGACAATTTGTTTTGTAAGCATTTGCTGAATTGAATCTGAGCTGTTTGTGATCCATGTGAAATAATGAATTATTAATATCAAGCTAGCACAGTTTTCTGCTTTGCTTAATGAAGTAGACCCATTGATGCTTTCCTTCTGTAAGTGAAACCAAATGTCTTCCATGACTTTACTTATATGGGGACAGCATCTTTATAGGCACAGATATTGATGTCTTTAAGTTAAAATCAATGTTAAAAATATAATCAATGTGGAATTTTAGAAGCACAAGGCATCTGTGCAAATTTTATCAGCATATTGATATTTCAGCAGTATGCTGTAAATTAGTTAAGACACTTAAAATCTGCAAGAAACATATATTCAACCTCCTGTTATTTAACTAAGATTGCAGCTTCTCTTTGCTTCTTTCTCTCACCTCCCTCCTCTTTTTTTTCTTATCAGGGGTTAAAGTAAAACACATGAGCAATATAATTATGTAGTTTTCTTGCAAACGTTGTATATTCAAGGGATCCCTGTTGACCCAGCATATCACAAACATAAGTAATCCTTTTTAGCTGCAAAACTGTCAGAGCTGGAGGCGACAGTGTGCAGGGTGAAACGTGGGAAACGAAGTCACTTCTCAAAGTTTAATAAAGCCTTCGTCCCTTGTAGAGTCATCTGCACCATTCTCCTTGCAAACCCTGGAGGTGATGACATCTTTCCACTTGGTTTCCATAGCATCCATTCTTGAAGAGCCTCAGAATGGCCCATGGTCAGGGCAATCCGCCCAGCTCCCTTAGAAAGTTGGCAACCCAGCTAGCCAAAACCTCCTTTCCCTTTTCCTGAAACTTACTCTTGTCCGTGGTGCTGAACCGTTTTTGCCGAGACCCGCCCAGAAGGGCGCTGTCTGCTGTGCTGGAAAAATCTTCGCGGCAGCTGCCCAAATCAGTATTATTTACTCACGTCCTCAAAGAACTACAAGCCTTCTCCATCTTATCTCTACCCTACCGCAGATCATAGGTGAGCCAACGTGAAGGCGATCCTGTGCAGGGAGGAAAAACTAATAGCAGCATTGCTCACCTGAGACCTGAGACGCTCCCCTGAGTTTTGGAAGTGCTCGGCTCCTTACAGCAAAAACACCGTTTTAAAAGTACTCTTCCAGTGACTTTGCGCTTACACAAGGATTCTGTGATATTTTCGCCTACTCCTTTGAAAAGCCAGCAGATTCTGACAGCAACAAGCCCTTCGAAACTGGGAATTTACTTTTTTTTTTCCCCAGTGGACTGATTTCCAGGACAAGGACTCGTCTGTGCCCGCCCAAATACCATGGCACTGCGTGCACCCTTTACCACCGGATCCTCCCCTTCCAATGAGACTTTCTGATTGTGTCTACCAACTCTCCTATTAGGAACCCCGTGGGTTGCATGCAGCTATTCTGTTGTATTCTTCTTCTTCTCTCTCTCTCTCTCCCCTCTCTCGCTCGCTCACACTCTAACTGGAGACACACAGACACCATTTCGCTGAGAAGAAAACACCAACTACCTTAAGCGATTAAGAAAATATGTGCAACCTTCGCCTTTTGTAGCAAGAATTATTTAAGTCTGGCAGCAGCTCACACAAGTCTTTACAAGAATGGAGTCTGTAAAACAAAGGATTTTGACCCCAGGAAAAGAGGGGTTAAAGAATTTTGCTGGGAAATCCCTCGGCCAGATCTACAGGTAAGAGAAAGCAAAGCAATGCTTGCCTAGGGCTAAGCATAAAAAATCTTCTGAGCCCTTTTTATAAACCTTGGTTGCTTAGAGAGACTGTAATATGATAGGAAAGTCTTTGTTGCTTTTTGCTGAGTGGGGCTGCTCTAGAAACCTGTTTATTAATTCAGGAATGTTGCACTAAATGAACCTGTCTGCTTGGTGTATGTGTGTGTGTGAGAGAGAGATTTTTGTTTGGATACCTGCAGATTCTCTTTTAACAATTGAGGAATGACCAATACCTGGTCCAGGAGCCCTTCATTTGATTCTCCAGAATTAAACTATTTTGATGCTGATACATGAGGAAAATATAAAAGCCTCTCAAAATTAAGTAAGAAAATTCAAAGAGTAATTAATGATAATAAGAAATGGACATACCAGTGTAAAAATCACACTGAAATAGAGAATCCCCTAGTGGAATCTTCCTTCTGCACTAAAGGATGAGGAAATCAAAATATATCAATAATTGATAACTGAAGAAGTTCTTCTCTCTGAGCAATGTGCATTTGTATTATGTATTCTCTCCTAGAAGTCTTTTTCATGCATAGAAAATACCGCAGGGGTGGTAGGAATAATAACTACCACTGAATTTACTAGAGATTATTGTTTGTTTTTTAAATAAAGTAACCTCTTTGTAGCCACAATACTAATATGCTGTAAATTTAACAAATTAAAAACCTTCCAAGTAGCTTACAATAATACACTTTTTCTTAAAAAGGCGAACAAAATCAAGAAGAGTGGGTACACAAAAAAGGACAAAACGAATGATGCCAAGAGGACACTAATTTTCACATTTGAGAAATTGACGCCTTTTGAAATATATGAGAAATGTAAATAAATTGACCAAAGTGCCTCCCTGATTTCAAATCTCTCTGGTCTGGGTGGGCTTCAAGTAGGTGAGATTATGCTCCTATGCGGCAGTAGATACCGCAAGGGCCCTGCAGTCCTGAAGTTGCCCCAACAGGAGTGTTCTTTCCCAGCTTAGCTGCCATCAAGTGTGGAGTTCAGCTTTCCATACATGCGCATATGAACCCAATGGAAATTTAAAAAAGAAAGAAAGAAAGAAAGAAAGAAGGTTTTTTTTTTTCTTTTTCTCCCAGAATAAATAAATTACATTTTCTAACATTGGGGTTGGGATTTAAAACAAGCATTAAAATAACCTCAGATATCTGTATGACCTACTCCCCAAGTGATATTTTGGAGAATTATTGGTAGCCGCAAATTGCTGGAACACAATATCCCAAATTCTGCAATCTTGGAATTGATCTAAATATTTTATTTGCTTTTTTGCGTGTATGAAGACAATTGTGTGTCCCTATATCATTTAAATAAGCACATATAAAATGAAATTGCATGGTTGAAGAAAATCTGCGAATTGTAAATGGAAAGGTTCATTGTTTAAATACATAAAGTGTCAATTCCCAGCGTCCACAAAGCTGTTACCTTTCTATTACTCGTTTTTTAAAATAGAAATTTCACGGGTATATTGGAGACTAGATCAACACTACCGCCTTTAGGTATAACCATTCCATCACTCCTCCCCTCCATTCCTCCAAGGACAAAACCCTGAAGGAATTGAATCAGATGGGTGAAAGCCTCTGAAATACTATGCAAGTTTTAAAAAGAACAGTGAGATCTTCCACCTCTATGTAGAACATTTTGCACAGAGTTGATTGGGGCGCCTTTGGATATCTGGGAGTCGCATTTTACCATTTTGGAAATCGATTCGACATTTTTCGGTGTTTGTAACCCAGATAGTAATGACGCAAGATTGTGAATAATTAATTATTCATGCTCTGGCAATAGGAGGCTTAGGTGTCGGCCATATGTTGCGGAGGCCTTTGTTTCAAACAAAAGTGAGATTCTTACGGGGAGTAAGCACTGAACTAACACCTGGGACTGCAGGAAGAGGAAATAGAGTGTGTGACACTCAGAAAGCATTCACAGACCTTCTCCCGCGTGGACACTGAATTGGGAAGGCCTTAGTCCCCGGGGGCCCCAGCTCAGCTGGGAGGCGGGATCCCAGCGTCTTCTACTTGTAAAGCTTCAGTTTGGCTGGAAAGAAATGGGTAGCGCTGTTGGGAGGCTGTGCCTGGATCTGTCCGCAGCGGGACAGTCCACCGAGGCTGGGTAGCCAGATAACGGTTGTCACAGGGGTAAAGCACTGCGGGGTGAGGAATCTACACTGGTACCTGGCAGGGGTTGCTCTCTTAACCCCTTGGCTTTTAGGATACATAGACCTCCATGAAAGTGAGGCCCTAGGGATTGGTGTACTGGATTCGAGGCACTGTGGGGTGGATCCTGAGGGAGGGGCAGGTCTTAGTCTTGAAGGCATTAAAATGGAAAGAGTGCCGCACAAGGGAAGGGAGTGGTCACAGTGCCAGAGGAACTTGGACGTCCTAAAGCCAGTTGTTACCCCACTGTAACCCCTGAGGGAGGAGTGAATAGGTCAATGATTGCCTGATTGCCCTCCACTCTCTGAGCCTTCATTCAAGCCAGGCGTGGAATGCCAACATGGGGGTGGGGGGAGGCGGGAATGGCCTAACCCGAGATGGCCTAGCTTCTCCCGCTTACGCCCTCCTTCCCCCCACCCTCTGCCGCACAGGGTGCTGGAGAAGAAGCAAGACGGCGGGGAGACGATCGAACTGACGGAGGATGGGAAGTCCCTAGAGGTGCCTGAGAAGAAGGCTCCGCTGTGTGACTGCACCTGCTTTGGTCTACCTCGCCGCTACATCATCGCTATCATGAGCGGCCTGGGCTTCTGCATTTCCTTCGGCATCCGCTGCAATCTGGGCGTGGCCATCGTCGACATGGTCAACAACAGCACCATCCACCGCGGGGGCAAGGTCATAAAGGAGGTGGGCAGCTCTCCATCACCCAGGCCCTCCGCGTGGCCTCAGAAGTCCACTTCATTGGCACCAAGCCTGTTTTCCGCAATGGCAAGAGGAAAGAAGGCCTGGATGTTCCTTAAATCCCCTTGTAGCTCCGCAATTCTAGGATTCACCGCAGTATTATTGTCACCTCCCTTTCTGCTCCTGAAGCAAGTCACTTCTGCTTTCTGGGCCTTCCTTTCCTTGTCTGCAAAGTAGAACAATAGTGTCGAGGTCACTAGATTTCTGTAAAGTGTGACTTCTAACAAGGTGTATGCGCCTAGCTAAGCAGTTAGCTAGCACGGAGTTGGTGCCTAACAATGTCCGCTAAATCGAAAATTTTAAAAATGTTCCTTTTACTCTGAGGAATGGGAAAGTATATTAGTTATAATTTCCCTTACTTCCCCCATTCCTCTTAAATATTCTTAATAATTAATATGAAACAAGACAAAATCAAATCAGCTATGCGCAAGTCTGGGAGTCCTTGTGTGGTGCTATAGGATAAGCGCTGGACTACTAACCACAAAGCCAGTGTTTCAAACCCATCAGTCTCTCCTCGGAAACCCTATACATGGTCGCTATTCGTTGAACTTCTGGACGACACTTAACAACAACATGTACATGTGGGCATTCCAGTCTTGAGGCGTTTTCGAAATGTCTCATACTCAGGGAGGCGTCGTAGTAAGAGTCCCTGAGCCCAGTAGTAATCTT